CTCGACTCACAGGTCATCGCTTTGAGACAGCTCATCCACGAGTACCCCGAAGTTTATCCTCATGAATGGTGGGAGCGGGCTACTCTCTTTGGTGAATATCTGTCTGTGGAATTTGAAGCAGCTACGAAAGAATCATTACGCTTACGGCAGCAGACGTGGACGGAGTGGTGCGACACTGCCCTCAAGGGTTCGGCCAAATTGATGCATAAGATCACGCGACTCCAGAAGATATGGTGCCCCACAGTGATTCAGAAGGCTCCTGGCATCTACTCCAGCAGTCCCGAGGAGGTGCTCAACTCGGAGGTCGGGATGCTGCAGCGACAGTGGAACGCATCGACGTCTCCCCCACGTGCTGAAGTACCTGATCGCGAATGCTTCCCACGGGCCACTGCTGATGAGTTGCGGAGTGCTTCTCGGTCCTTTTGCCAGTTCACGTCATCGACTTTGGATGGCTTTCATCCGCGACATATATCGCTTTTGGGTGACCCAGCTCTGGAGACCCTCAGTGCATTGTTCGAAGCAGTTGAACGACTAGGACTTTTTCCTCGTCACTTCATGTGGATGGTATTTCCACTTATCGAGAAGCCAGCGGGAGGGCACCGTGCCATCCTCTTGCTGGCCAGCTTTGTTCGTGTATGGGAGAGGCTCCGCCGTCCCATGCTGGATCCTTTCTTTGCGGCCACGGAGAGGGCCTATTGGGCCTTTGGGACTGGGAAGAGCGCGGAGTCATGTGTGTGGGCCCAGACGGCCCTTGGAGAGATTGCCGCGGCGGATGATCAGGTGGTCCTGGGGGTCCAGTGGGACGGCAAGAAATACTACGAGTCTTTCTGTCTGGAACTCCTGCGCGATCGAGCACGACAATGGGGTATCCCAGGGGTGATTGTAAAAACGATGTACAACCTCTGGCGCTCTCCGCGGCTGATTAGGCTGGGCATCTCCTTCCATCCAGTTGCACTTTTTGCTCAGAGCGGTCTACCTGCAGGGGATATTTTCAACGATGCGTTCGTAAAGGTATATGCGATCGGGGCCTTCGACGCGTTTACGGCTCGCTTTCCACATCCTATTCGGCTTTCGTCGTATGTTGACGATGACACGATCATGGCGACGGGTACTAAGGCTGAGTTGCTCAGATTGGTTCCAGATGCGGCTGAGGACTTTTATCATACGTTTCGGGGACAGCTTCGAGCCGACATATCGGAAACTAAAGCTATTACGATCGCCAGCTCACTTTCCTTAGCTAAGGCGTTAGCACATCAACTTCAGCTCCGAGGGCTCCCAGCAGGCACCATAACCCACTCGTCGGTGAATCTTGGGGTTGACTTTACCCCAGCACAGGTTCGGATGACAAAAGGGGCCCTCCGAAAGCGTCGTGAACGATTTCGACAGTTTCGCCTTCGACATTCGCGGGTTCTTCGATTTCGTAAATGGTTATCTCACGGGAAACATCGAATGGCAGTAATACATCAGGCGGGCCTCAAACCAGCTCTTGCCTATGGCAGCTCTGTGCTTGGGATGTCAGACTACGAGCTACAGCGAGCTCGTGCCACATTGCTCAGTTTTCGCTCTCCATCGCATAGGGGTGGATCTTTGTTGTCGAAGATTGTGCTCCACGGCGACCCGATGGCCGACGTCAGTGTTGCACCCGCAGCTGCATGGAGTGTGGCAGTCTGGCAGGCCCTGGTTGCACCAGAGCGCGCTCTCTTCAGCATTCGAGAGCTACATCAGATGTTTCAGATAGTCCAGGAGAGATTGGAGCCACATCACAGATGGCGACACACGAAAGGACCGATCTCGCGAATGCTCCTATCTCTCCGACGGGTGGGCTGGTCTGCTAAGAACTTCGCTCTCTGGGAGGATGATAAGGGGGTGGAGATCTCGCTCATGTACACGGCTCCTAACATGCTCAAGGGTTTACTTCGTGATGCTGTTCAGCGTAAGCATGAATATGATATGGCACACACTGTAGATAATTTTGAGCATGCACGCGTATGTTCTGACATTGTGCGTAGCATAGTGTGCACGTCAAAGAAGTATACACCCAGGCAGAAGTATGCCGTAGCTAGCTGCTTTTGCAAGGCTGTGTTCACGTGTGACAGATTAAACATAGATGAAGGCCTCTGTCCGCGTTGTGGGACCCCTGATAGTGTCTTTCACAGGCTCTGGGTGTGCCCAAGCCCCGAGGTTGCACAGGCCCGAGGAGAGGCTGCCACCCCAGAGCTTGTCCAGGAGGCTTTGGAAGCTGGTCCGACGAACCCGTTTTGGACCCGCCTCATCTTTCCTCATCCCTCTCTCACCTTTCAGCCTCCTACTGATTGGGTCTATCCCGAGCTCTTGGATGCGCAAGGAAATGTCCTATCGGACTTCTCGTGTATCGAGGGAGCCAGCGATGTCGTCGTCGATGGGTCGTGCACGAGGCCTCCGATACGCGAGCTTGCGAGAGCATCCTTTGCTGGAGTTTTCCTTGAGCGAGGCTCGGAGAAAGTTCTGGCGAGGTTTCGTGGGCCGGTATGGCCAAGCCTGCCGCAGACCCCTCAGGCGGCTGAGCACATGGGCTTAGTAGCCATAAGTTTCTTTGTCGGGCAGCTGACGCATCAGCTTGGAGTTTTTTCGGACTGTCTGGGTCCCGTGCGGTACCATAATCAGTCGGCTGCCCTGCAGATGTCTTCCAGGAACAAATATGCTGGGCTGCGAAGGGGTTTTTGGGAGATCCAAGGCTCGAAAAACGTCGGCCCTGCGACCCACACCCCTGCCCACCGTAGCATGGATGTAATTGACGCTCTCCCACCAGACGAGCGGAGGATAGGACTGGCCAACTTCCATGCGGATCGTTTCGCGAAGGAGGCCTTAGCACTACACGCACAGGAACCTCAAGAGTCCTGGGATGACCTTTCGGCCCTGGTTGCCAAGGCCCGTGCGGTGGCCCGTGTGATGGGGACGGTTTTGCCCCTTTTTCCCTTTTCCCAGTTCCCAGAACGGAGAAAGGTTCCTTGCCCTAGGAGCGTAGGTGCTAACCGATGGCATGCATGGACGTCCGTCCCAGGTGCACCAGGCTCCTTCATTTGCTACGACTGTCATGCGCGCCGTACAGGTACTTGTGCTAATGCTCTTGACATGTCGGGCTGCCCAGGGAAGAGACACAACTTCTCTTTCCTGGGACAGCCCCCCCTCGGGCATGACCTAGTCTACACACGACTCTCGTCAGGTCCGAGTTTGGTTTTTTGCAGGCGATGCGGCGCCTACAGCACTGAGCGTCTCAGTCGCCAGCTCGAGAAGAAGTGCCGAGGCTATGCGGTGTCTTCGGCCAGTAAATGTCGTCTCAATCGTATGCTCCGAGGCCTCCACCCCCAGTCCAATCGTGCCGCACCAGGTGTTGTGCTCCACATACTAAGTGATCTGGAGCGCCAGAGGCTACTTCAGACCCAGCAGCGCCCACGACGTGCTGTGTGGCTACAGCCTCCTCAAGGTGATCTTCCAGGCACGGCTTTAATTCCAGGACTGGAGGGGATGAGGCAGCGGATTGCAGCTCGTGAGGAGGCTCGAGGTTTCCAGGAGCAAGTTTTGAGGGCTCCAGTGCAGCGTCCGCATACACTGGAGCCCGAGGTCCGTGGGTCCCGTGACCATGCCCAGGGGTCTGCTGCCCCTGAGCAAGGCCTCGATCCTGACCTCCTCCTCCTCCTCCTCCTCCTCCTCCTCCCCCTCCTCCCCTCCTGCCCTCTGTCTCCCCCGCCTCCTCTCCACCTCCCCTTGGGGGAGCGGTAGAGGAGTGCGGCAGGGGGGGGCGAGTGGAGGCAGCCGGCGGGAGGAGGGGGAAGGGGGAGCGGGAACGGGAGGGGAAAGGCGTGTGAGAGGTGAGGAGGGGGTACGGGGCGCTGAAGAAGGAACCCTTTTCGCTGGGGAGGGGCTCGGTGTTCCTTGATTGTTTCAAAGTTTGCCTCGGGTTGTCCTGAGGGCTTCCATAGGAAATAGAGGTTGAACTTATGGGAAAAAGGGGCCTCGTTCCTTATTTCGGGTTCCTTAGGTCAACGCCTCGACTGTATCCGCTGGAGCGAGTGGAGGGGAGGGGAAGGCAGGAGGACCGCCAGGCGGGGAAAGAGCGGGAGAGTGCAGGGGGAGCCGGCCTTGCCAGATATCGTGTGCACGGAGCTCACCCCCTCGTCAGGAGCGTTGGGGTGGGATGCTCAAGTGCGCGCGTGCACCGCCTGGGTCCCAGCCCCCCACAGCACCTGCCTCGCCTGCGGCCGAGGGGAAACTCCCTCTCGCCTCTATCCCCGCGCGGCCCTCTCGAGCTCCAGAGGTTGACGTGCCCCCCAGGACACGCCAGCGTGGCACGGTGCCTGCAAGTCGATCACGGGTTCTCGTCGCTGGGCAGGGCAGCGATATGATTCGTCGTCGCTGATTTTCCGAATATGGCTCCTCCGGAAATCATTCGTCGTCGTCATTATTCGTCGTCGTCGTCGTCGTCGTCGTTATTATTCGTCGTCGTTCGGATATCGGCGCTGCAGCGGTTGACATGTCGAGGCCTGACAGGGAAGCGGAAGCACCATACCTCGGTCGCGCGGGAGCACTCAACGAGGCTGCCAGGCCGTATAGAGGCACCGCGTGGAGCTCCCCTGCCTGGTGGGGTCGGCGTCCCTCGCGTGGCTTCGGGCCGGCACCCGAGGCGAGCCGTCGCCGCACTTTTTTTGATCTGCGGGTCGAGAGCGAGCCTCTTCCGATAGAAGCTAAGTGGACCGCGCACAGCTTTAATTACAGAGGGGGGGCAAAAGAAGGCGGGGCCTCACGTCAAGGCCGAGAGAGGGCAAAGCCCTGGGACCAGGTGGTGCCGAAGTTGAAGTGCAGTCGCCGCACACCCGAGGGGTGGCACAGCGAGCTGCGCACCGATCAGGGCAGGGTCGTGCCGGTGGCCGTTCTTGGCGTGCAGCTCCTCTCTCCGAGGGGCCCCGGGGCTCCTCGGCCGTGTCCCGTGCTCGCCCGCGGCCGCCCCTCCGCCGGGCGGGCTCCCCGGCCCGAGCCAGCGTCCGCGCGCGAGAGAGCCGCAGGCCCCGACCCCGAGTGTCCGCGGGCCCGATGGTCGCCGCCGGGGAGCTCCACACGGTCCTGCTGGCCAGCGACGGCGCGGCCGTGGCCTTCGGCGGCAACCGCTTCGGCCAGTGCGACCTGCCCGCGCACGCCGCCGGCCGAGCCTGTACGCAGGTGGCCGCCGGAGGGCGCCACACGGTCCTGCTCGCGAGCGACGGCACGGCCGCGGCCTGCGGCGCCACGGGTGCTGGCCGATGCGACCTCCCAGAGCTAGCAGCAGGCGGAACCTACAAGCAGGTCGCCGCTGGAGGGTTCCACACAGTCCTTCTGACGGGCGACGGCGCGGCCGTGGCCTGCGGTGACAACGGCGACGGCCAGTGCGACCTTCCGGCGCCAATTGCAGGCCAGGCTTACACACAGGTCGCCGCCGGAGGGCGCCACACGGTCCTGTTGACGAGCCACGGCGCTGCCGTGGCCTGCGGCTTCAATGGTGCCGGCCGATGCGACCTCCTGGAGCTGACGGCAGGCCAGACCTACACGCAGGTCGCCGCTGGAGGTCTTCACACAGTCTTGCTGACGAGAGAGGGCACGGCCGTGGCCTGCGGCGGTAATCTTAACGGCCAGTGCGATATTCCGGAGCCAATCGCACGCCAGACCTATACGCAGGTCGCCGCCGGAGGGCGCCATACAGTCTTGATAAGGAGCGACGGCACGGCCGTTGCCTGCGGCGACAATGCGGCGGGCCAGTGCGACCTTCCAGAGCTCGCCGCAGGTCAGTCCTACACACACGTCGTCGCTGGAGATTCCCATACAGTCCTGCTGGCGAGCGACGGCACGGCCGTGGCCTGCGGCTCCAATGGGCATGGACAGTGCAGCGTTCCGGCGCCGGTCGCGGGCCAGATTTACACAGCTCATTTGCTGCAAGTGCTGCTCCTGCAGGCATCGTTCGACGGTGACTCGATCTGTTTCGTGACCCTAGGTGGGGTGGAGCGCTGCCGAATCGGCGTCAGGCCCACCTCTCGTCTAGCAGATATGCACGACCAGCTGATCAACCATCATCGCGCGGGCAGGCTCGGCTTTGGATTCGCACGAGTGGACGCTGTCCTGCCAGAGGGCCGACTGTTGAGCCGAGTTCCGGCAGAGGAAACGGTCGCCAGTACTTTTGGGACCGCCCCGCAAGGCTGAACCCTTTTCGCTCTCTCTATGGGTAGATCGATTCACCCGTCGTCGCAGGTCACGGTGTACTCGAAGACGCAGCTCTGAGGACGCCGCCGACTGTAGAATCCGAGTTCACCTCGCCGCGAATTCCGCAGCACATCCCGCGAAACATTTCTCGTCGCCCCCGCGTAGCTCTCGGCAGCTCGCCGGGCGCGCCTCCTCAGGGGGGCCGCGGTGTGCTGTGGCCCAGGTTCGATTGCCGGGCCGCTCCTGGCGGCCAGAAAGCCTGTGGATCATCCCAGGCAGGCACTTGTTGTCATTACGTTCGAAGCTTTCGCACGCTTGGTCCTCCTCTATGTATTTCCGCGCGTGCTTCGGGGCCCTTCTCAGCAGCTCTCGTGAGACTCTTCAGAGTGTCTCTGGTCACTCGCGCGGCCTGTTCAGGCCCTCTTGGAGGATTCTTGAGCCCCCTGTAGGCCACTCGCAGGGGGGGGTAGGAGGAGAGGGGAAGGCTTCTTCGCAGCACCCTGCTTCTTGGAAGGCGCGGGCCTCATCTATAGATGTAAGTACGGTCAGCGCCTTTAAGAAGCAGCCTTCTTCTAAGAAGCCTTCCCCCCTACTACCCCCTTGTGCGCGCCGCCAGCCCTGGGGCTATCTCGGGTGCGTATTGTGGGCCCTCTTGGGCTGTCTAAGGCTCTTGGGGCCCTCTTGGGGCCCGCATCGCAGGGCCTGTGGGGGCTCCCAGGACCTCGCGGGGCCCTCATGGAGCCTCAAGATGGCACAACGGAAAGTACCCAGAGTTAAGCGTGCGTGCTCACGTTGACGCAGTTTCACACACGTATACCTCGAACTGCCTCGAGTCTACCTTGGGAAGAAAGAAAGGGCCGTCTTGGGGGGCTCTTGTGCCATCTTGGTGGGAGTCTCTTTGGGGTCTGGCTTGAGATTTCCTGGCGTCATCGGTGATTTCCGAGGAGCCCCCAGATGCTTCGATATGAAAGCCGATCGCAAACGGAACAGTTTGAACCTTTTCATGCATTGTTTTTGTCTCGCCCTGTCGGAGGACTCTTCTAGAAGGTCATCGGGGCCGTCTTGCGCCACCTTGAGGACATCCTCGCGGTCACCTTCGGACATTCGGAATTCTGGGGAAGTCTCTTGGCAAGTCCTGGGGCCTTCCAGGAGCCTCCTGAGGCCCGCTGGTTTGTACGCAACTCCTGGCAGGTTAAACTCAGACTCGGCTCTGGGATATCCGCGTTCGAACACTGGCCTGATCCTGCATCATGCGGCTCAATCCCGCTTCGTCGGGCTCAATGGTCTAGTCTTGGACCAAGTCCAGCCTAATCCCGCTGAGCGGCACCTGAGTCGGGCTGAACAGCCCCCGACCGTTCTCACGAAGACCTCCCGTCGGGTGTTGCTATGAAGTGCCCCTGGTCCGAGTTGCCCCCAGGATTTCCAAGGAGGCCCCCCCAGGCCCCCAGAGCACCCCGCACGAGGCCCAGATGGCCTCGGGAGCTCCGGAATGGACCGACGAGCTGGGGGCACTTTGGGGCCGGGGGGGCACCTCCAGCAGCCCCCGATCCCAGGAGCAGCCTCCTGCCTCATGGGGCCCTCGGCTCGCCCCGCGGGGGCCCTCCTCGCCTCGGCTTCGCAACGCTCGCCCTCCGTGCTGCGCAGCGGCACGGGCCCGCGGCGCGAGCGGGACGTCCGAGGCGCGCTTTTCTCGGCTCCGCTCCGCGCCTCCTGGGGCCCTTGGCTCGCCCCGATGGGGCCCCCCCTCGCCCCGGCTTCGCGAAGAGCTCCCCGGGGGCCCTTTGCGCCCTCCGTGCTGCCTGCGCACGCGGCGCGGGCTCGCGGCGCGGGCGGGGCGTGTCCGCGGCGCGCGCTTCTCGCGGCGGCTCGGCTCCTCGTGTGCGGAGGGCACGTCCGCGCGACCCCGCGGGTGCAGGGCGCCTTGCCGGCGAGCGGCTCGCGCGGGTCGTACGACCGAGCGCGGGCGATGATGCTACCCGGGGGGTAGTCCAGTGCGGGGGCCCGGCGGGGACAGCTAAGGGTTTTCCCGGGGAAGGTGAAGTGATGATGATGATGATGATGATGATGATGATGATGATGATGATGATGATGATGATGATGATGATGATGATGATGGTGGTGGTGGTGGTGGTGGTGATGATGATGATGATGATGATGGTGATGATGATGATGATGATGATGATGATGATGATGATGACGATGATGACGATGTTGATGTTGATGATGATGATGATGATTATGATGATGATGATGATGATGCTGATGATGATGATGATGATGATGATGATGATGATGATGATGATGATGATGATGACGATGATCATGATGATGGTGATCTTGGGCGCTCGGCTTATATGCGTGCGACCGCATATCCGCGGGATCGCGCCCCGGACTCCGGACCGCGAGGGCGCGGACACGCACACAGGCTCGCCGATCGTGATTCCTGACGTGGCTCTTGCTGTGGCCAGGAGCTCTCCGAGGGCGCCGCCGATCCATCGATGCTGGCCCCGAGGGGCCGCCCGGCGCGTGGCCGCGGGCGCTCGTTCCGAGGGCTTTGGGCAGGGGCCTTGGCGCGCCCGCGGCAGCTGCGGCCGTGGGCGGAGGCATGCTCCGAGCTCCGTGGGCTCCGGTTGGATTTTGCCTGTCTGGTCCCGGCTTGCGCTGCCATGGGGTGTAGGGGGCCCTGACTGCTTGGGGGTGCTCCCCCAGACCCCCCCCCGAGGGGGGCAAGAAAAACGACACATGTAAGCATACTTTCGGAGGTACGCTCGAGTTTCTTGGATCTGCGCTGGCCCCCCGCCACTGGCGCGGTCCGCGCGCCCCATGGAGGTGGCTGCAACCGCCAATCTGGACCTCCGAAAGATTACGTTCATGTAGTACTTCTTTCCCTGATACACTGGAGCCACTCCGCCAGGCCAGGAAACGATTTCCCCGTACCATTCCCTTTCCTATACCCTTTCCCTCCCCTCTCTTCCATTCCATTCGTTCCGGCTCATCGGGTGGGTCACCCAGCTGCAGCGATTCAGGAGGGTGGCCGCCCCAGCTAGTGACACCACTGTGCCAGAGCAGCACTGAGACAGTGCTCCAGAGCATGCGGTGTCTACGGCGAGCCTATCAGCGGGGCCAGCATGTGGTGCCGCGGGCAGTGCGATCGGTGTCGCCGTCGCTCCTGTACGGAGAGGGCAGGGTCCCCATGCGTGAGGCAAATTATTGTCTAGAGCGCATTGTGCCCCCCCCCCCCCCCCCCCTCCTTCTTTACTAACAGACATACACATTCCATTATCTGATATCCTTTGTAATCACATTATGCCCGACCCTATCCTGCCCTGCCTTATCGCATCTCCCATCCTATTCTGTCTTTTTCATGCCCCTCTCGGCTTTCTAATCCTATCTTGACCTGCACTACCGTGCACCTTGCGCACCTGCCGCACCCGGCGGACCCTGCGCGCGTCGCGCACCTGCTGCACCTGCCGCTCCGGACAACCTCTGCATTGGCGCACCTGGCGCACCTTTACACAACTTGAGCGCCTGGAGCACATGTCACATTTGGGCGCACGTGGCGCACCTGGCGTAACTAGCGCGCCTGGCACACACGGCGCACTTCGCGAGCGCGTGTGTGTGTGTGTGTGTGTGTGTGTGTGTGTGTGTGTGTGAATATGTGTCGCACCTGGCGTCTGTATTGGTTCCCCATGGCTGTCCATCGAGTGTCGACCGCTGTCTTGTTGAGTCTCCAGCGCTACTCATGTTAAGGGAGGTCTTGTGGAAGTGAGCGTGACAGACCCCTGATTCTACTTCTAAGCCTACGCCTAATCGTAATCGTACCCTCACTCTGATCCTGAGCCTAATCCCAACCCTATCCCTAACCCTCACCCGGAATGTACCCCCAAGCTCCAGCCCTGACCCCTACACCTCCACACCACCCTGCTCTATCCCACCTTCTCTGCTGGTCTCCCGGCTCAAGACGCCGCCAGGCTGGGGCCCTACGCACCTTGCTCAGGTGGCCCGCCGCGCCAACTGCGCGCGCCGGGTCCTCCGGGCTCGTCCTGTAGCGCGGCATGGTGGACAGAGAGGCCGTGTCCTTCTCAATGGGGAGGGCGGCGGCAGATGAGAACGAGGATGATGAGGAGTAGGATGCTGATGACGATGATGCTGTTGCTGCTGCTGCTGCTGCTGCTGATGATGATGATGATGATGATGATGATGATGATGATGATGATGATGATGATGATGGTTGTGCTTGTGCTTGTGGTTGTGGTGGTGGTGATGGTGATGACGATGAGGAGGGGGAGGAGGACGAGGAGGATGAGGATGAGGATGAGGATGGGGATGTTGATGATGATGTTGATGATTATGATGATGATGCTGCTGATGATGATGATGATGATGGTGATGCTGATGATGTTGATGATGATGCTGATGATAATGATGAGCATGAATATGCTGACGATGATGATGTTATGATGATGTTGATGATGACGATGATGATTACGATGATGCTGATGATGATGCTGCTGATGCTGACGCTGATGCTGATTATGATGATGATGAGGAGGATGCTGATGCTGATGCTGATTCTGATGCTGATGGTGCTGCTGCTGCTGCTGCTGATGATGATGATGATGATGATGATGATGATGATGATGATGATGATGCTGACGCTGATGATGTAGACAGACAGACAGAAGCCATAGACCAACGTCGTGCGGCAAAACACAAAAAACGAAAACAACTGGCAAACACATCAGAGTGCGAGAATCTTATCTCGGCACTTGCGGGCTCTGTACTGGGCATGGTCTAAAAGTTGCCGGGTGGTCCCGAAAACCTTTGAACAGGCAGGGCAAGTCGTAGTCCCTGCTGGGATCACGGACGCCACAGGTTTCCGATGGCCGTGAACCCTCATCCTGTGCGTAGCCACGGCTTTGCTGCTACTGAAAAGATTGGCACACTCCGGGCACGGAACTGTAAGGGGCTCTGTGGAATCGTCGGCAAAAGGCGCCGATCCGATCGTGACGTCCCGGGCGAGACGTTTCCACTTCCACCAGTCGGCGGCTATGAATTCTGTCCACGCGGCTGCTCCTTTTGCTGAGCTTGGGTCCCCTCTCACATCTAGGTCGCGCCGGGCTGGTGGCGGCGCGAGCCTGGGAATCGCCTGGAGGTCGGCGAGGACTCGTTGGGACCACGAGGAGGGGGAGGCCGAGTGAGGCAGGAGGAGGGCCTGCAGTGCAGGGAAGGGCTTACAAATCAAGCTGGATATGTACAACAGGCGGCGCCGCCTGAGTATATTGTCTACAGAAGGCAGCTGTAATTTCTGCAGAAGCGCCAAATCGCATAGGCGTGGTTTCCCAGGGATCGGACAACGGCTCTCATGGGCTATCCTGAACACGGCGCGCAAGTAAAATGTGTGCAACCACTGTATGTGAGTGCGCGAAGGCGTCCACAGCTCAGAATTGTAGAATAGCACTGAAAGGACGAGAGACTGGAAAAGTCGCAGCCTGAGCTGCACGCTCATGTGCTGCGCTGCGAAGACTTTCCGCGCCAAGCTGTGGTACACCGCGGATGCTTTCCGCAGGCGTGCACGTATGTCCAGGGCAGAGCACGCGACACCGGACTGCATGGATCCTAGGTGCTTGTACTCGCTCACAACGGAACACTCGATGCCTGGGACCCCAAGCACGGTCAAAGCAGGGCGCTCGCCGATCATCGCCTCTGCCTTAGCGGCCCGGGCGCCTTTGCCCCTCCACATGATGAGGGCCTCTGACTTGCCAGGCTTCCAATTCAGCTGCATGCCGTGCTTCTCCATGGTGGTGTGCGCCGCTTCGGCCACCAGGGCGACGTTGCGGTTGAGGCTCGCGTTGTCCTCGCCCATGATCAGCACGGCCTCGTCGTCGACGTACGTGACCTCCCCAACAGGCACGGTGTGCGTTGGGAAGGCGCCGGGCTGGTGGGCCCATGGCGGGCCGCTGGGCTCGCATTCCGCAGCGAATGTGAGGTTGAGCTTGTCAAGCGCTGATGATGTTGACGATGATGATGATAATGCTGATGATGATCGTGATGATGTTGGTGATGTTGGTGATGACGTGATGCTGACGATGCTGATGATATTGATGATGTTGGTGATGTGGTCGTTGTTGTTGCTGTCTCCCCTTGGCTCGCACCAGTTTCTTTTATGTTGAATGGTATACAGCCTCAACATGTGCCCCTGGTCCACAGTTTACAGCACCAGCGGCTCCCGCCTGATACTTCCCCAAAATGCATTTAAACTCGCGCTCTCGCGCGGAACCTCCTCACAATTTATTCAGGACTCGCGCTGTCGCTCAGGACTTCCTTGTCGACGTTCAGGAATCGCGCTCTCGCACGAGACGTCTTCACAATTTGACGCAGTACTCGTGCTCTCGCCTGTGGCTTCTTCGCAACCTGCACCGTTCGCTTCAATGCCCCGCCCGCCCGACCCGCCCGTCAGGGTCCTCCCGTTCGCCTGCTTAAAGCCCGCCCGCCCGCTTCAATGTACCGCCCGGCCCGCCCGTTAGGGTCCGCCCGCCCGACCCGCCTGTTCGGGTCCGCCCGCCCGACCCGCCCGTTAGGATCCGCCCGCCCGTCCTGCCCGTCAGCGTCAGCCGGTCCGCGTGCTTGGAACCCCTTGCGCCCGCTTTAACGCCCCGCCCGGCCGACCCGTCCGTGAGGGTCCGCCCGCCCGCCCGCCAGCTCGGGCCTGCCCGCCCGACGCGGCCGCCAGGGCCCGTTTGCTAAACTTCTGGCTCATCTCCCCTCCCCCTCCTGCTAACTCTCCTTCGCCTACACATCTCCTCCCTCCCTCTTACCCCCTTCCGTCCGCTCTTCCTCCTTTCCTCGCTCTCTCCCTTCTCTTTTCCCTCCTCCTCCTTCTTCTCCTCTTCCTTGTCTTATTTCCCAACCATCATGTGGTTCTGGGTTCTCGTTTTGAAGAGACAGCGCCCCGCGTCACTCCTCCTTCCTTCTCCTGTCCCTCCATCCTCCCACCCCTGCCTCCGCCCTTCGCATGTCCAATCGGCGCGCCTCTCACACGCTTCGTGGCTCCATAGGGAGCTCCACCAACGGCCCCATTGGCAGCACCCGCATGCGGCTCCATCCTCTCATTCCGGCGCACCCCTCCCACGTATTGTGGCCACATAGGGAGCTCCTTCCGACCGCCCCAGTGGCAGCGCCCGCATGCGGCTCCACCCTCATATTGGTGCACCGTTCACATGCTCTGTGGGGGCTCCACCGAAGGCCCTAATGGCAGCACCTCAATGAGGTTCCACCAACCATTTCGGTGCACCGCTCATACGCGTCGTGGTTCCATAGGGAGATCCACCGAAGGCCCCAGTTGCAGCGCCCGCGTGCGGTTCCACACCGATTTCGTGCGCACTCACACGTTTCGTGGCCTCATATGGAGCTCAACCGAAGGCCCCACTTGCAGCACCGCCATGCGGTTTCACCCCCCAGTTTCGGCGCACCCTTACGCGTTTCGTGGCCCCATAGCCCCATAGGGAGCTCCACCGACGGCCCCAGTGGCAGCGCCCGCGTGCGGTTCCCCCCCCCGATGTCGGTGCACCCCTCAGACGTACTGTGGCCACATAGGGAGCTCCACCGACCGCCCCAGTAGCAGCGCCCGCATGCGGCTCCACCCCCGATTTCGGCATAAGTCCCACCAGCCCTTTGGGCGTGAGTGGTTTAGCGAGCTCTCTCTGTTCTCAACCCCCCTTCTTCCCCTTCGGGGAGGGGTTTACCCCTCCCCCTACCCTCTCTCCCTGGGCCTGGAGAGGGCGCCTCGCGGGTGGTCAGAGGGGTCTTTTTCGACTCCTGGGAGGGCTAAAAACCGACACCCCTCACGAGGATTCTGGCCCCGACGGGGGGAGGGAGAAAAAATGCTCTCCTCTTCTTTGAAGCCAAAATCATTGATTTTACTATGGTTTTGGCCCCATTTTGGCCTTCTGAGGGGGCAGCGCTCATTAAAGCTCCCCTCTTCTTTCAAGGCAAAATCATTGATTTTACGAAGGTTTTGGGCCCATTTTGCCCTTCTGAGGGGGCAGCGCTACTTAAAGCTCCCCTCTTCTTTGATCGATTTCCTCCAAGGGCCCCAAGAAGCGCCCAGGAGGCACCAAGAGGCCCCAAGATGGCCCCAAGAGGCCTCCAGGAGGCCCCCAAGAGGCCTCCAAGAGGCCCCCAAGATGCCCCCAAGAGGCCCCCAAGAGGCCCCAAGAGGCGCCGAAGACGCCCCAAGAGGCCTCCAAGAGGTTCCCAAAAGACTACTACTACTACTACTACTACTACTACTACTACTACTACTACTACTACTACTACTACTACTACTACTACTACTACTACTACTACTACTACTACTACTACTACTACTACTACTACTACTACTACTACTACTACTACTACTACTACTACTACTACTTACTACTACTACTACTACTACTACTACTACTACTACTACTACTACTACTAGCTGCTGCTACTACTACTACTACTACTACTAGACTACTACTACTACTACTACTACTACTACTACTACTACTACTACTACTACTACTACTACTACTACTACTACTACTACTACAGTTGTTTACTACTACTATCTCCTACTACTACTACTACTACTACTACTACTACTACTACTACTACTACTACTACTACTACTACTACTACTACTACTACTACTACTACTACTACTACTACTACTACTATTACAACTACTATTACGACTACTACTAGTTCTAGTCCTACTACTACTAGTACTCCTACTACTCCTACAACTACTACTACTGCTCCTACTACTAGTACTACCACTACCACTGCTACTAGTCCCACCAGCCCTTTGGGCGTGAGTGGTTTAGCGAGCTCTCTCTGTTCTCACCCCCCCTTCTTCCCCTTCGGGGAGGGGGATACCCCTCCCCCTACCCCCTCCCCCTGGGCCTGGAGAGGGCGTTCCGCGGGTCGTTGGAGGGGTCTTTTTTCGACTCCTGGGAGGGCTAAAATTCGACACCCCTCACGAGGATTCTGGCCCCGACGGGGGGGGGAGAAAAGTGCTCGCCCCATCTGTGATCGA